TTTTAAGAAAACTCCACTTACCCAACCCTGCAGTTGAGTGTACCACGTTCGTGTTGGATTCTTTCGCTCCAATAAATTTCACCTGAGTCTCCGCAGTCACGCCTTTGCATATGTCTGACTCCCAGTCCATCCTCGAAGCCTGCCTAATTTATGTGATACCAGAAAGGATCTACGTATCTATGCATCTTTTCCTCGAAAACTTGCAGGTTGTCTCGTCCAATTTGTACAGTTGAGCATCAGGGGAAAATAAGGAACCAACTTATCCCGCCGGAAAATGGGATTTCCCACGACTGGGGGAAGGGTACAAAAATCGAATGAAAAATCCATTTAGCCCGGGTTCAATTTCCTCATTCCCATTTGTTTTTCGGGTAAATGTGGCAATTTTTTCCTCATATTTCAGAACAAAAAGGCACAAAATTACAAAACAAATTACAAAATACAAAATAAGAGGCATATTTCTCACTTTTATGATGTTTACTGGCCACGCCCCCTCGCCCCCTGTTTTATTTTTTCGTGACCTTTCACCCTTATTATAGCCAGCAGGACAGCGTTTTTTATACACCATTCTATATATTTTTTTTAATTTTGAATTTCGAATGGAAATTTACATAATTTATGGGCTGCAACAAAAGTCACACACAGATACGGATCCGAAATCCGGGGTTCTATAAAAAAGGGGGTGGCGACCTGAAGCATATGCCGGAATGAAGTTTTTTTCATTAAAAATTTGTATATAATTTACGATTTTTTAAGTTGCGCAACCGAGCAAATGAGACGCAAATTATTTTTGGTGCTTTTTTGGTTCTTGATTTGGTCAGGCAGCCTCATTAAGAGCTCATTAAAAAGATTGCGCGAGCTGAATCTTGAGCATTTTAACACGTTTTTAATTTTAATGCATTTTATGGCCCCTTATCAAAGTCCTCCGTCACAGTTGAAATCATCATCATCGCGAAGGGGCATCATCATTGAATTTTACCGCGGGCTGACTTTCACTTGTTGACTGTGGACTCTCCACTCCTGAATATCCTGAAATCCTCGTTCTCATCCTCATCCTCGTCAAAGTCACCGCACATCAGCACGTCAAACTTCATTAGGAAAGTCGGAAAGTGGTGAGGATGGTTTTTCCTAGAGGGTGAATTCCCGCTTTTCCTCTGCGTTGCCTTCATTGTTTTTATGGGCTGCGCTAATTAGTTACGAAGTCATAGAATTTTACAGGAATTGCTCTCGAGGATTGTCATGCTGTTGTCATCCCCTTTCCCTCGAATTGAACCTCACTTGATGCAGTCATCATTTGTGGTTTTCCCTCGGAGTGGGTTTCAATTCTCAGGAGGAGAAATAAGTTTTGTCGGGCAATTTAATTAAAATATCAACGGGTCTAAAAGAATTTAAAAACATGTAGTATATTTTTATGCACCTACAAAATTGTTTTGAAAATCACCCTCGCTATTATTATTACTCTTTATTTTTTGCTCCTTTTTAATCCCATTTTTTGATGTCATGTGATAGAAAAAATAGTAGTTGGGAAGGATCAGTAAAGACTACCCAGTAATTTGTGTAAAATTCCACCACAAATTAATCAGGATCCAAAAACCAGACTGACCACTTGACCACCATATAAGTCAGAGCAAAACAAATCCCAACTAAGTGGGAACCAAGACCGAAGCCAATTACAAGGAAGCCCATTTGACAAAGTGAAAGTCCAGGAGTCGCAGGAGTAAGACGTTGGGAGGTCCATAAATTTGCGGGCACACGGACATAATTATGCAGACAGGCGGTCTCAAAGGGTTAAGAGATTGGGTTTTGGCATGGGAGCTCGACGGGCTTGTAAATTAAAAATACCACGCCCCGCCGTGATAAATCAAAGTCAGTGGGCTTTGTATTGGATTTGCCGAAAGGAATTTGTAGACATTAAGAAAGTCCAAACTCGGAATTCTTTGCTAAGCCCTTCCTGTTGCTTCGCGGCATTTGAATAAAGTTGGACCTTGTTTTGGGGAAAGTGTCGTTGACATGTTAAGACTTTCCCCAGATTTATGGGCCCAGCCTAAAAAATGCCTTGGGGTGGTTACAAGGCAGTAAGTAGAAAGTCCTGGGCCAATTTAAAAATTGAATTTCCAAACTTACCACTCCGATTCACAGCTAATCATGTTTCAAATTGTCCAACACACATGTGCCTGCGGTTCTTAGATCTCTTATCGATGCCAAAATTTTGACACATGCCACATCGCACTAGAATCCCCATTGTCTCTGAGTTTTTCCTGAAAGGCCCTAATGCGATTATATATTGTGTGTTTTTGCCCCAAAATTCGGTCAGGGAAGGCCCTTTGCCAGCAGCTCTGATTAAATTGGGTTGCAGATGCTCATAACTGTCACACATGGCACAGGACCTCCTTTGACTCCTTATCTCTGGAGTGTCAACACCGAACCACCCAAAAAACAAGAAACAAAAAACCTAAAAACAAGCAAATAAAAGGGGAAAAGAAAATTCCTGGGATACTAGAAAGTTTTGAATACCCTTAAAAGTTGAGATCATAAACAGTACACTGTATATGGGGTGTCTTGACATTTAATGACCTTTCAATAAGCCAATGTATTTTTCTATTGTTGTCTTCCAAATTCATCTCTAAACTACTATTCCCTTTCAAACAGAGTACAACAGAACAAATTCAGGACAGTTTTCAATAAACCCATCAAAAGGTACTAGTGCTGACGCTTTGAACCCTCGCCCATGTGCGTAACCCCGCCCAAATTCCATCGAGAATGCCCCCTGGCTAACTCATTGTAAACGCAATTTGATTTATGGACAATGTGGAAATTGAAAATTGTCGCATGGTCACTTTAATTTGAGAGTTATGCGACTTTAAACTGAATAACGGGGGATGTCCCTTGCTGATGATGCGGCAGGAAGTGAATTATGTCACGGCTCATTGTGAGGTTATGTAGCGATGACACACGAGTACAGTACCGCCCACTAGGACAACTATGGTCGGCAGCGGAGGCAACTGTACTTGAGCCTTGGTGCGTGTGAAAACAGGATGCGGCACGCGTCGCTTGTTAACCGCTCACTGTTGCAAGTTAAAGAGCAATTTCGGATGGGACAGGGGTGACCAGTCACCCTCTTTGTCTTATTTTTTCCAGGGGTTGGGGACTTATATTTCATGTTTGTTACTCGGTGTTTACCGTTGGCTGCTGAAGTGCCTCAATGGTTTAGTGTCAGCTTATAGTTTTGACATTTGTCGCCGGTACATAAAGCTGATTGCAGATGAGTATCGGAAGTGGGTGCTGAAAAGGATGTGGATAAAAAGATGGATGTCCTGGGATTCACTGCAATCCACTGAAGTGTAAAATATGTCGATGAAGTAGCTTGTGTCTACTTTAAATTTGGAATACATTTTAACCTCTTAGGAATATAAGTTTTCAAAACTTAATTGAATAGTAAAATAATATTTGTAGAAAAACGATTTTTAAAATTCTTAAACTTTTTTAATAGGTGTAGTAAAGTAAGTAATTTTTTGTATTATTATGAATTCTTTTTTTTTAAGGATACAGCTAACTAATCTCCTTGTCAATAAAGATTCATATTATTTTAGGAAAGGATTCCTGTCACAGAAAGATGGGTCCACCATAGAGTGTCCACTATCCCCTCCATCGAAATTCCTCAGGGACATGTTTTAATCCTTTGGTCAACCCCTCTGGGGCTGCTTGACAAAGTTTCACTTATTCGGCAATTATTGGAAATATTTTCGAGTTTTAATTGAAAAACTGGTGGCTCTGACCCGCCGTTCTGGGCCACTTTCATGCATGCCTGCACCTGCTGCTGTCCACAATTAAAACTGCCCCCAAAACACTCCATGCAAAAACTTTTCATGGCTATCACTCCGCTCTCCCTGTGGGGATTTTATTTTTCATGGCTTTTCAATTTTAATTGAAATTTATGCGCCGGCTTTCAAAGGGTTCTGTTCACACTACCCCCTGCCCATTATTTGTGGCCACGTGTTTCGTTGGCCAAAAAAGAAAGAAAGAGTGTTGCAAATTGTTGAAAATTTCGAAATTTACATGGACAATTCGCCAGGAGCATAACGAAACTGAAAAGGGGTGATTCTGTGATTTACAGCCCGCACTTTCGTAATTTATGAGCCGCAGCACTTGAAAAACAAAGCCAAAAACCGAACCGAACAAAACACGGAAAGTGCATGCAAAACATTTTGTGGCGCCATTTTATTGTGCTTTTCGACTTGTTCATGTGTAAAATTTGAAATTGTTGTAAATAATTACCCTAATGGCTGCCGTCCCCATTTTCTTACCCCGTCGCAAAAATCCTGGCAAGTCCTGGCAGTTAATTTGGGATCCCCGGGCATCGTCGCCATTTGTAATTAAGCCTAAACCGTTAATATTTCAGCCAGATAAGAGCAACTGCATCCCCAACTCCAGAGACTCCATGCCAAAATGCCCATAAATTCACGGCCAAAAGTTGGTCCTTCCGCCAGGATCTCGGATCCAAATTGTTTGGGGAAACATTTTACGGTTCGGGTGTTAATTTCCAGGCAGATTTTTTCTTATCTCAGACCAGCGAAAGTGAAAATTTCTCCAACATCCTTGTTTTTCTTGCCTGTATTGGCAAGAATTTAATTAGCATACCGAATCGTTAACAAGATTGGAAAGCCAGTGAGTTATGCACAAGTTTCGCATTTAAATAATAGGATGAGAGGGGTTAATCCCTTGGAAAAAGGCTATTTTGTAATCTAGACATAAGGTGAGTGTGTTGAAAATTAAGACGCAAGAAAACAGAAAGCTAGATTTTCTAAGTAACCATATTTGAAATTCCATGTATATATTTTTAACTTACTTGGAACATTTCAAATAGATTAGATACTTCTTTATACAAACTTAAACATTTCAATAAATATAGCTGTCAAATCTTTCTTATCACAAAAAATAATAAATGAAAAAATATATATATGATGGTATGTACGTTTTAGTAATAAGCACAATAATATTTTAAATATGTTTTGACCATTTTTATTTTTTAAGCAACCTTATTATGGCTGAATTAATATTTAGCGGAACACATGACTACAGCTATGTACTTAACTCATACTAAGTTATTTAACAACTACTACACTAAAACGTATATTAATAAAGGCGTTGTTAGCCAATGTGAATATCTGAAAAAAATAAAAAAACGTTTTTTTTTAATCTTGTAGGAAGAACTCTACATTTTATACTTACTATTATGGTGAATATTTATGTTGACATGTGGTAATTTTGGAAAAGAAAATCCTTTTCTTTTTCGTTTTGGAGCCGCCAAGGCATTTTGTGAAGAGATGAAGAGTAGTACAACGAAGAGAAGCCAGCAGCACTTGAAGTATTTCATTTTGATGATAATATAATCCGGCTGTATTGTTTTAATGCTGAGAGTTGAGCTAGGACTGAAGCTATAGCGGGGATAGCTCTTGATTAAATATTTAAGATTCTACCAAATACAACAAAATCCCGATGATCATGACATCATTGGATCTGTTATCAGCTTGGTTTTTACCGAAGGCGGGATCGTCGCTGAATCGAAAAGTGAACCCCCGGTAGCTCTACGAAAAACCCAAAACAGCTGAACCGGCGTTGCAATGATCGTTCAGAGGTTTTTATTTACTTTGGGCCGTAATAAAGCTGTATTGAATTCGTAGAAAATATAAAATTGAAAAAGAATTACCGGGCGTACACAATATATCATTAAAACTTTCTGTTTTGTTGTTTGTATATGTTTATGTTTATTTCAAAAGGTTTTTTTGGTAAGGCAGGCAAACTGAAAATATTATACAGTATTACATTTTTGTAGGTGTTGTTATGATATTTTGAGGTACCTGGAATTAATTAAATATGTAGTTGCAAAAATGTATGTTCAACTTACCTATGTCTGTACTGTTTTTTGGCAACGGGCGTGTTTTTGTCAATAAAATGGAATATAAAGAATAAAGAGCCCTTAACCCATTGTCACCCGAATAAAACCCCATAACTACTCGAACATAAACATGCATAAATTGCATTATAAGCGACCCAAACAAAGCATTATGAATCAGAACCCTCGGAACGGCAATAACTATTCATTATCGACACATAAACGACCCCTTGAGCACTCATCTCATAACTGGAAATTTTTATTAAATAAACAGAACAAAGCGATGGCCGGAAAAATGTCACACACTATATGGTGAGGGGATGTGCCATATCCTTCTGACCCACTAAATTGGATCTGCGAGTCGCCAGAGAACCCTTTCCCATCCGGCGTAATTCAATATTTGACTAGATGAGATTTATGGCCACAGGGTGTAGCGACTTCCTGCGAGGAGGCATCCTCGTCCTCATCCTTTCGCTTTATTTGCGCAAAGTATAATTTTTGATTTAGTGCGATTTGTGTCAACGGGTTGTGTGTGCAGCCCAATAGTTTCGCAATATTCGACAAAGTGAAAGTTTTCCCGCTTTTTGTTTGCCTTTCCAGCGGATATGAGACCGCATGCTGATTGTCAATCTGAAGTGAGGGAAGGGTGGTCCCAAGTCAACCCCCTTTCGAGGCGGAAACGGATGTTCCGCCAACGGAATTCGCATAAAACTTTACTATTATGCCGAATATTTTGGCGAAAATTGAATCGCGTGGCAGCCAGCAAATTGCTTTGTTCACGAAATCGCGAGGGAATCTGAGGACCTACGAGGGTGACTCTGGCAGGTACAGGATTCACGATTCAGGATTCAGGATGCCATAGATGATAAGGCTCAATGGCACCAGGCAATTTGCCGCCAGAATTTGCATAGAGTCGCGGATCGCGAAAAAAGGGTTGATTCGCACGGCCGGAAAAGTGCGACAAGCGAATTTATTACAGGTTGCATTAGATTTAATTAGCGAACGGAGCGTGCTCGGAAAAGTAATATTCTGAACACCCAAGAGGGCTTCATAAACCTAACTCTTTTACAGATTTCAATGGCATATTTTTTCTCATCATCTTCTGATTTTTTGCTCTGCCTGAAAAATATAATGATATGCGAGGATGTGATTGCATAGGGATTAAAGGGAAGACATGATTATTTTGCATGATGCCATCCTAACAGAATTAGCTAGCACACTTTGGTTTAAAGCCAAAAGTTGTGATTAAATTCTATATTAACTTTGCTTTTCGATTCCTAAAAATCGTAATCTTTACAGAGTTACCAGGTACTATATGGATGCTCATAGATATCTCTTTAGTGTAACCAACGTTACATATTTTTTGACTGAGTTCCCCCAGTATTACTTGATTTTTTAGTGTAACCAGTGTTACTGTAATAAACTGTATCGGTTGCTGTAAGCAAAATCAATTGAAACGAGTGTTATTGGTTGAAAAGAGTCCATTTTGTAGTTGGTGGAAGTGGGAATTGAAAGAGTCCTGTTTAAATGTCTACTCATTAAAAACTCTAAATACCTCTAAAAACGAATTGTACTAATTATCTCCCTGGAAAAACGGCGAGCTCAGGAAATTCCTGTAAATAAATTTTGTTAGTGGAAGTAATTGGACAATAATGCAAAAAGGCATATGTTAACTTATCCAATTAAAAGCATGAAGTATTGACTTCTCCCTTGAAATGGCAACTTACTTGACTTGGCCTTAGTTTCTTTTTTAGAACCCGTTCCATCAGTTGCTTTCAGACAAAGGTTGATCATTGAACATTCTATCTCATCTATTCCAGGTGCCGGATCCAGACCAAAAGGGCGATGGATAATATGGATAATACCACGAGTTTGGTTGTTGGTTCCATTGATTTCCAGGATTATTGTAGGTATTCCACGGATTATCACAGAAATTTCCAGGCCCATTATTTCTCATAGCTTGATCTTGAGGAGCCGTCTGACTTGGAGCGGGTTTTTCAAAGGATTTTTCTATTGGTGATATATTTGATGCTAGGTTTTTGCCATCTAATGCCTTTTTCCTATCTGAAGCGCTTTTCGAATACAGTTTTAAGCGACCGAATCGGTAGAAGATGAGCCCACCCATCTTAACCAGCTTCTTGTGAGACTCATTGTCTACGGCCATGACAAGGTGTAAGAAATCACCATGGATCAATCGGTTCATAACCCTCCATTCTGCGGTTGAGACTGAGTTCTGGGCCTCTATGATTTGCAGGACCTTTTCACTGCTGGTGGATAGGCTGTCTGGAAAGTATCCAAGCACCACATTTTTCTTCGGGAGTTCTGACTCTTTCATTAACTTCAGTTTAATCTCTACTTTGGCCTGAATGTGGCAGAAATTTTGTTTAAGCCACTCTGCGGTGGATAAGTTGGAACAGGTGATAAGAAGCCATCCTCTTCGAGGAACACATCCCTCGAACTGGGGCTTCTGGCTGCCAGAATTCTCCACGGTAACATCGACTATGGCCTCTTTGATCCTGGTTACTTCCTCGGCGGTCAGCAGAGTCCCAGCAGACTCCGGAGCCACACCGATTCTTACACATTTAACGAAAGTGGAGTAGGGATAGGGATTACTGGTCTGTATTCCATAAGGAGCAGGCAGGAGTCCCTTGGCTATGGGAACAGCTTGCGCCACTGCTAGAGCCTTTTCTCTGGTCAGTCCACCTTGAAGAGCCTTTCGCAGCAGCTTCTTTTGCTTGCTTTTCAGCCGAACAAAGCCAGGACCTGAATTCTGGATGGTTGATGCCTTTGGAGCGGCATCGGACTCATATATTTTTAGACTATTCATTTGGTTCCCACGAGTGCACGGGAAAGGAGGTCGCCCACAGCAGAGCCCGAGATGCCGCAGGAAGTCTGGATTGAAACTGCGGGTCGACAGGTGCGCAGAGTTCGCCGGCTCAGGACCGAGTTACCCCTCGGCCACTCATCCTTCGGCGCTGGCTGTTCCGCCTTGGATTGGGGTGATCTTCCAGAGTTGTCTTCTCTTCGCCCGACTACCATTTGCCAGCGTCCTTCGGCAGAGACATGACCTTGCCGAAGGACCTGTTTCCAGCCGCCCTCACGGGGAGAGTGTAGTCGCACTTCCGGGTGTACAGACAGTTACCGCACGACCATCTAGAATTTACGCCCTAGATGTCCGGTACGTCCATCACCCAGCTGACGGCCATCAAAAATGTTTAACTAAGTTGCTTAGATAGACAGGCAATGTCTACAGATTTGATATAAGCTGTTGTTTCTTCTGTATGAGTTTTACAAAATCTTGTAAAGTATCGTTTAACGTATATGTATGGGTATAAATGTACCTATTCATCATATTACAAAATTAAATTCAAGTTATAATATAGAATCTAAAGTTTAGATCGGTATATTTAATAACCAATTTAGTGAGGAATACAATTTGATTGAAATAGATATCTTTTTAGATATCTATGTTTTCAACATAATTGGTATACTTCTATACTTGGGATTTTAGATAAGTCTCTTTAAAAAAAGCATAACTTAAAAAATACTTTACAAACGAATATAGTTGTGGAAAACAGTGTATTTCAATTAAAAATAAAGTAAACCTACTGTAAGAGTAAACACTTACTTGTGCGCCCTATAGGTGAAACTCCTATAGTTTAGCGCCTACACATATCCCCATTACGTGTTCGATGGGTATAAACACGCCCTTTTCAGGGCATGTTCCTTGTAACACTAAGATGTCCTGTGACTCACTTAATGGCGCTTCATCTCCTCGATCTGTTTTAAAAGGAGCTGCATGCGATCTTTCATCAAAGGCTGACCCTTTTGGGTCCTTTTGCTAATGGCCTTGGTTTTCTCCAAACGCTTCTTTTTATAGGCTTTTACTTGGGCATCCCGCTCCGCCCGAACTTTCTCCCTTTCCGCCGCCTCCTTGGCAGCCTTTTCTTGACGTTTCATATTCCGGATCTCGGGTTTGTTGGGTTTATTGGGCTTGTCCTGGAAAATATTGGAAAAACATGTGTGTATACCTACTCCATTTGATTGATTTTCTCACTTACGTCTTTTCCCTTTTGTTTGTTTATGTTCTTGAAGTAAGGCTTTTGACTGTGGGCCACCTTGACAGGACCTTTGTTGGGTTTTCCATGGGGTTTTCCTTGGAGTTTTCCTTGGGGTTTCTGGGATCTCGGTTTCATTTTTGTGTTTTTATAAATTTATAGGCAGCAAACTTATCGATATATCGATGGTTAAACACATGTTACAATCAGGCATTTACCAACACTGCTCAGGTGCTGTTGTGTTATCGTTCTATCGATACCGATAGCACGAGGTAAATATTGGTGAAAAAAAGTAAATATGCTTAAATTAGGTAAATTTCTAGCGCAAAATGGTTAGTTAAAAATATGAAAAATATATAAATGCATTACTAATTATGCATTCTATAGCTACGGTGGTCAATCTGGTGGGCAGGCAGCAATTGGGCGCCGCCAGCCGCTTTTACTCAGCCTCCCCGGAATCCGCGGACTCGGATTTACCAATTGACATAACGAATCCCTATCAAAAGGACCCCCAGCAGTGCATCCTGTGCAAGCACAGCATCGAGCCGCACTACAAGAACGTAAAGTTGCTCTCCCAGTTCCAATCCCCGTACACGGGTCGCATTTACGGGCGGCACATCACCGGATTATGCAAGCGCCGTCAGGAGCAGGTGGAGCAGGCCATCCTGCGCGCCCAGCAGTGTCTGCTGATGCCGGGCTATCACAAGGACCTCGACTTCCTGCAGGACCCCAAGCTCTTCGATCCCGAGCGGCCCGTGCGCCCGCACAAGTACTAGTTTTTTGATAAGTTTGAGTTTTCTCCTTGTTGCAATGGGAATATACAGTTTCTTAATGTTTAATCTTATGGCAAACTATGTTTATTTAAGGTTAATCCTCCTCCAGATAGCGCAGCATCTCGAGCGGAATACCCAGCTGGGCGAGGATGTCCTTCTTTGAGAGTCCCGGCTCTGCCATCGTCAGTAGATCGTCCACAGAGGCTTTGAATGCCCGGTGCCAGATTTGTATATCACCCTGCAGCTCTGTGATTTTGCTGTGTTGGGGACTGTCTTCCAGCTGGTTCTTCTGGGGATCCTGTTGATCTCCAACCTCTGACTTATGGCAATTCTCTTCAGGATCACTCTTCCTTTTGGTAACCTTGGCCACCTTTTTTGGAGGTTTCTTCACAACCTCTGGCTCATCGTCCTTGGTTTCCTGGGCCACAGCAAACTCCAGCTTCTTTTTGGTCAATTCTGTCCGGTTTTTGGACAATCCTATCCTGCGAGCGCTGAGGGATAAGGCTAAAGCCTTTGGAGTCTCCTGGTTCCTATTTATTGGAGTGTTAACAGAGGTTTCCTCCCTCTGAAGTCTCATTAAAGGCGTGGATTGACAACCACGCCTGCCCAATCCGAGTCGTGGTCTCCGGCCTGATTGAGGCGTTATATTGGTCTCCCCGGACATCGAAATTCCTGGCAAATTAAAATATTGGGCAAATTTTGAAATGCTTACAACAACAACGCAGCTGAATGGACACAGCTGTTTTTATCGATAACGATATCGGAGAAATCAGAATTGTAGTTCCAGTAGTATGCCAACAGAGGGCGCCAAATAGGAATGTAGATAATTAAAAATGTACCTACATTTTTGTTTGTAAGATTTCAAAATATAAGACGCATTTTTAAAACTCAAGAGTACAATAAGGTGGAATTTTTTGTAATCTTTTTATTGAGAGCGAAGTAATGAAGTAAATCGTACATAATAAAATGTACATAAATGTAACTACAATTTTTGTGACGCAAAATAAACGATACACAATAAAAATAAATAGGTATTGAATTTTAATACTAACGAAAACTTTGTAGTCTTAAACACTATTTGAAATTTAAACTTTTTATAGACAATTTGAACTTATTGAAAAGTGATAGTAGTAACGTTTAAACAAATTTCAAAAGCAATTTTGATCAAATCGCAAAAGGTAACGCTGTCGCTCTCCTTTGATTACACAATCGACTTTAGTTTTATTGTACTTTATTCTAGGTATAGTTGGTATGAATATATAAACTCGCGCTGAACGATCCTGATCCTGTCTTTTGGGGACTGTATATAAAGTGTCTACAAAAACTAGGCGCGCACTCTCTATTGCTAATCGGTAATCCGTAATCTGTAATCTGTAATATGTAATCTGCTCTATGACTAAACGTGACCTGATACTGATACATACTGCCGACGAATCGGTAAAGACTCGCGCGTGTACACATTTGGCTTCTCTGCGAAATTGCGATTCTGCGACCAGAACCGAACCAGACCGACTTTGATATGACTATAAACTAACGTAGACGAGGCCTAGGGGCTAAAGCGATTGACTGGCTTACAAACTGAACCGAACGGGGGAGAACCAAACTTATTGCAACGGTCGACGGGGGAAGCTCTTAAGGATCCAGCTTGTGGTAGCGCTCAACATCGGCTCCGCGGAAGAATACCTTGCAGACGCACTGCTGGTCGCGCGAGAGGAGCACCAGGCACTCCCGGCAGACCAGGTGGCGGCAGGTGCGGATCTCATAGCCAAACTGGGCGCTCCGGCAGTTTATGCAGCTGGCGGGAGGAGCACTTAATCCGGATCCGGCGCTAGAGTTCGAGGCCAACTGGCTGAAGCGTGTGACCTTCTGCAGCGCCTGCTGAATGGCCTGGTCGATGGAGGTTGTGGCCGAGGTAACGGTGGCACAGGCGCTGCTGCCATGATGACTGTGCCTGGCCCTCTTGGCCGCCGGCGGAGAGTGTGGTGATCCCCCTGGGGAAGTCGCCGATGAGGAGGTGGCCGTGGCGGTTGCCCTGCTCTTCCGTTGCTGCTGCTTGTAGGCGTTGCTCAGCGCCGAATAGGTTCCGGCAGCTGGACTGATCTGTCCGGGTTGGCAGGTGCTGCTGGCGAACTGCGAGGCGTGGCGGCGACGTAGGCGAGAAGTTCCCAGGCTGCGCGGCACCGCCTTGAAGTGCTCCGAGTGCTCCATGAGGAACTTCTCAATGCGCGCTTTCAGGGCCAAGTTAAGGATGGCCTTGCGCTGCGCATTGTACTCCAGGCCTGTGAAGGGATCAGAGGGCTGGCGGCCCCACTTGGCCTCCTCCTCGGCGTGCTTGTCGATGGTGGACTGGTCCACCACTTTTCCAGAGGGCAGCACGGTGGGGAAGATCTGAAGGGGAGAGATGAAGCATTTATATTTAAAATAGGATTAGGCAATCTATATTATAAAGGAATATTTTGAATGTTATAAGAAATCGTTGAACTTTTTTATCATATCTTAAGGTGAATAATCTTGCTTAATGATTCGAGAATTGATATTTCTTGGTTGAACGACTGACGATTTCGTTACTTCCTTGGTAAACATTGATAATGACATGATATGATTTCAACATTGGTAGGAATGATTCTGAGATATTATAAACCGACATTTCCTAGCAACGTTTTTATAATCCACCAGGAAAAGTATTCGTTTTACTTTTGTACATGTGTGCACATGACCAGATTGAATTGACCTTGCAATGCATTTCTTGCGGAAGTGGAATCGACAAAATGGCCGCCGCTGATTCATGGCTATGTACTCAGTTGCAGAAGTGTAAGTGGGCACTCAAAGTGAGAGATAAGGAGGGAAATAGGTTCTGCCTGCCTGCAGGATGTGCAGGACACTAAGGACTCCTTACCATTAGCTCCCAGGTGATGGAGTCGAGGAACTCCTCGGGAATGGAGAGTGTGGACTGCTCCCGCAGCTCGGGAACATGTCGCGGTGGTGACCTCTGGCCCGTGGGCGTCTGGGCGGCATCCCGCTGGCCGTAGGGATCGCTTATCTCGCTCCATATGGTCTTGACCAGCTCCCGATCAGCTTTGTCCAGGGAACGGGCGGGCAGTCCCCACATCTGAACCTTACGCAGCACAGGAGGACACCTCTCCGTGGCCCGGATGACCACCTTGACGCTATTCGTGCTGGCCAGGATCTTGTGGGCGGACTTGAAGAAGAACACCTTCTCGCTCTGCTCCGAGTTCGAGCTGCTGCGAGAGTTGTAGTCGCTCTGGTAGCAGAAGGTCACCGAGTCCACGCCACGTCCCAGGTCGCGAACAAAGGCCACCCGTTCCCAGATGCCATCGTGTCGTCCATGCAGCTCGAATGCGGTGGATCTGAGCGCTCCGCAGGAGGGCCACAACTTGATGACCTTCATGTCCACCGCCTTGGGGAAGTCGAAGACGATCTCGATGGGCGGCTTGCAGACGGCGAAGCACATGAACCCCCTTTCCAGCTGCTCTATGTCGTCCGCCACCAGATTGGCCGCAGTGTACCCGTCCTCGCACACGGCATCGCTCTCCACGGAGGGTTTCAGCTTGGGGTTGAGGAAGTTGATCAGGCTGCTCATCCTGGCTGCTCGGTGGCTGTTATGTGTCGCTTTATCGGGTGTATCTCCGCCGTGCCCCACCTGCTCTTTATTCGCACAGAAAATGGCGTCACTTCGGAGGCGTAGAGGGTCTTTTGTTGCGGCCCCTGCCTCGCAAACGCTGCTAGTCCTGCCTGGTAATCCGCCTGCTAATCCCGCGAGGGTTCGCTCCTGTTCTCAGCCCGATCCTGAACACTCACAGGCTGTCCCGGACTTCGGCTGGCATCGCACAACGCTTAAAATGACAATTATCCCCCTGCTCTTCGAATATTTATAAATCTGGAAATTATACCAGGGGTGAACAATATATCAGAGTATCGATGCATCGATATTTTTGACTAAAAATAAATATCGAGATATTGCTTCACCTGATATATCGATATTTTCGAAAACATGTTTTTGAACCCAGCAAACAGAACAAATGGAACACTGGGCGTATGCGCAATTGTTGCAATTGAGGGAGGCAAGAAATCCCACTTGCCACAAGTCAGGAATGAAAAATATATCAATATATCGAAATTTGTAACTGCTTTTCAAATTATAACGCGGGAAAAATATTGTACTAATTCCCGAGACACCAACCAGCGGCTCGAGTCTTGCCGTCTCCACTTTTGGAGAATTCAATTTAGGACTCAAACCTTGTATCGATAGTTATCGAGGACTCGTACCATTTATCTAAAAAGCAAAAAGCCCGCGTAAATTTAAAAGTAAAAGAATGTATTAATTATTATAAGTAAAATATACAGAGAAAATAAATAAACTATTCGTAAAATTTTATTCTAATTTTAAAGGTAATATATATGTTACTCTAATCTTGTTTACTTAATTTAGCAAAACTAATTTGTTAGTTTGTACTAAAGATTTGCACATTTTAAACTGTGGTGATTTGATTTTATTAAAATAGGAATATAGGAAGAAAAATGTTATCAGTGGTCAAATTAAGGAACGCGTTTCAAAGGTTTACCAGTTCATTATTAAAGCCAAAGTTTAGTGAATTGCCGAAATAGCCACTTTTACGATGTATAATTCAAAAATCTGCCCCACCGGAGGCCGATTATGGCCACTTCATGAGCCAAATATAAAAATATTAAAAAGCTCTACGATTATAGATTAGGCTAATCACCCGGCTAAATGGGTTTCCCGCTATTGTCAATGACTTGGCCAGCTGGTGCAGAGATAACCGAAGGCTATAAGTGGCACCATCGATGTCAGTCATGCTCCAGTTGCTCTGCGAACCATGAGGGGAATCGGAATCCTGTTGGCGATTGCCTTGACCTCCGGGTTCCTGGCGGTGTCCTCCGTGAACCTGCCCGGAGTGCCCGTGGACTTTGACGTGGCCGACCACATCCTGTCCGCCATTGCCGACGACATATCCGAGCGCCTGGTCAAGGAGTACGTAACCTTTTTGAAGACCGGAGTGGAGACGCCCGAGTTCCTGAAGCTCACCAATCAGCTGGCCAAGTCGCACAGCCAGAAGGACATTTTCACCAGGAACATGCCCGATCTGGAGCCCAGAGATAGCTTCTTTGTGTGTGTGGCCTGTCGGTCGGTGATAAATGTCTTTATTCGCACCATTCGCGATGAGGACGGCGAACTCCATGGCGAGAATAGTTCCGTCCTGATGAAGGCCTTTGCCATGGACGCGTGCCGCCGGTTGAATCTGCAAACGGAGGAGGTCTGCGAAGGTCTGATCAACTCCAACCTGCCCACCATGGAGTATATTATGAGGAACTCCGAGATCGATTCCCAGAGCTTCTGCTCCCTGTTCATGGAGTACAACTTCTGCAACACCGTTTCCAACGAGGCCTACAACTGGACCCTGGCTGTGGATAGCACTGCGGAGCCCTTGAGCGGCCCCAAGTCCGATACCCCTACCTATAGCGAGTCTGACATCAGGATCTGCCAGATCACCGACATCCACCATGATCCCTTGTACACGCCTGGCAGTCTGGCCACCTGTGCGGAACCCATGTGTTGCCAGAGGAACAAGGAGACGACCGAGGGAACTAGTGAGGCGGCTGGTTACTGGGGAGATTACAGGGACTGCGATCTTCCCTGGCAGGCCTTTGAATCCGCCCTGGACAACGCGGTGCTCAACACAAAGTGCGACTATGTCTATCAGACTGGCGATATTGTGGACCACATGGTGTGGGCCACCTCCGTGGAGAAGAACAGCATGGTGCTGACCAAGGTCAGTGAGCGCATCAACCAGGCCTTCGGGGATGTTCCCGTCTATCCCTGCATCGGCAACCACGAACCCCATCCTCTGAACCTGTAAGTAATCTTATATTCTGGAGAAACAATAATATTAGTTTTAAGCAGATCCTTATGATGTAATTTATATAGGAACGACAGCTGTCTACTTAAAAATTGCAAAAATAGTTAATCTTAATCTTAGATTACTTTGGAATTATAGCTGTACCATTAAATCCTTATCTTTGATTTGCCTTGCATATCAACCAATAATTTATAATGTCTTTCAGCACTTTTACTACAAATGCTAATCTATCTAAATTCTAAATTCCAGCTTCAGTCCCGAGGGCGTTCCGGATGAGCTCAGCACCAAGTGGCTGTATGAGCACCTGTACAACGACTGGTCGAGGTGGCTGCCCGAGGAAACCAAGGAAACGATCCTCAAGGGAGGTTATTACACAGTGGTCCCCAGAAAGGGATTCCGCATCATCGCTCTGAACAGCAACGATTGCTATACGGACAACTTCTGGTTGTACCACAGTGGAACCGATAAGATTCCCCAACTCCAGTGGTTCCATGATACCCTTTTGGAGGCCGAAAAAGCCGGGGAGTACGTCCATGTGCTCACCCACATCCCGTCGGGAGATGGCACCTGTTGGTCTGTGTGGGCTCGGGAATTGAACCGTTGCATCACCCGCTTCAGCTCCACAATCAGTGGTATTTTCACAGGACACTCGCACAAGGACGAGCTCTTTGTCTACTATTCGGAGGACGAGGGACATGCCACTGCGGTTGCCTGGAACGGCGGTGCTGTTACCACCTACTCCAACAAGAACCCGAACTACAGGGAGTACGCCGTGAGTCCCACAACCTTTGAAGTGACCAACCATTGGACCTGGATCTACAATCTGACTGAGGCAAATCTGACACCTGATGAGCAGCCCAAGTGGTTCCTGGAGTACGAGTTCATCAAGGAGTTCACCGAGGACACGAGTCCTGCTGGAATCGACAAGCTCCTCGACCAGTTCGCCGAGAACCCCGCCTTGATGAGGAAGGTGAGTTGAGATCCTTTCTTATAAGTAGATTTGGATAATATTGTATTTATCATGTTGGGAACTATAATATCAATGTACTTAATGTGTTAAAATTTTTAACATTTTTCATAAACTGAAATTATTTTTAATAGTTTCCAAAGTTTAGGGACATTAAGATCAATTGAAAATATGAAATATATTTGATATTTATTGGGATATAACTTTCACATTTAAAAAGCTTTCTTTGTTACGATAAGATAGAGGCACATCAAATGTAAAAAGCCTACCACTCTTTCATCCACACTATAACACCCCTTTCTCTTCCAGTACTGGCGCTTCCGTGTGACCTCTGCAGATCCCCAGGTGAATGCAGGTTGCGATCGCACCTGCCTGGCAGGATCTCTTTGCCGTGCTGCTGTGACCGTCAATTCCCAGCGAGGACGCTGCGAGGAACTGCTGGAAAAGCTGTATGCCTCTGTAAGTTTATATCCAGAAATTCAAAGATACTTAAAACTAACATATAAATCGCACCCTTCAGCTGGATAACGAGGGAAACACCTCATCTGGAACCAGTGAAGCCACCACTCCTGGACCCAGCAGCAGCACGACTCCCGATGATGACAACGGAGGCGGGGGATCCTCCACTTTGGGACTGCTCAGCATCAGCTCCCTGCTGGCCGTAGTCCTCTCCATCCGTCTTACCCTCTAGTAATCCCTACTCTTACCACCTAACCTAAGTTATATAATCCGAATGGATTCCATTCCAAAAGTGTCCACTCTCAAGTGGCAAATAGAAGTATGTGCTTATCCCTATCGAAAGCTAAACCTATGGTGATTTTTGTTGGGGGACGGGACTTTGTTTTCCTGCCGATTGCCTTATCGACTGATGGCGATTTGCACAAATTAGCCAATTGAACCGTGTTGGCCATAAAACAACAGTTGGCTACGTGTTTATGGCCAACACAATTTTGGCTGATTTTAAAGTCACGCATAAATGTAAGCACGTGCAAGAGAGCTTTATTTGGGAATGACTTGCGGCGGATCGATTAGGTAAAATCGTGATCGAAAGTTGTGGATCATGCCCTAGTCTGAATCACGCCACAAAAAAAGCAGTTGACGACAGGTTTATGGCCAAGGCAATTGCTGATCTTGAACTCACGCATTAATGTAAGCACGTGATAGAAATGGAATGGGAATGATTTACGATGGAGCGATTAGGCAAAGAATGGTGATCAAAACTTAGGGATCATGGCGTAATCTTCATCGCGCCATTAAAGAAGCAGTTGGCTACAGGTTTATGGCCAAGGCAATAGGCGTTTTTCAGTCACGCATAAATGTATGCACGTGCAGAAGGGTTTTTCTGATAATGATTTAGGGCGGATCGAGTTGGCAACGCTATAATCTGAATAACTCAAAATTACTCAAAGAAAACGAATATATTGGATCTAAAATTTAAATATGCTGTTTTTAACTTGCGCAACAAATAAACTCACGACCCTTGAACTGACTGAAAACGTTACTTTAAAAAAAAAAGTTAACCATAAATCGTAAATAGTGCTATAAATTAGTTAACTATATCTGATTTTGACAATTTTTGACTTGAGGACAGACATCCCAGAACCTCAATTATCTACATGCGAAATACCAACTTTCTAGCTTTTATAGTTTCCGAGATCTCAGCATTCATACGGACGGATAAACAGACGGATATGGCTATACTTTATAGGGTCGGAATCCCTTCCTTTCTTCTACTTTCCGATGAATCTAGTTTACCCTTTTACTCTACCAGTAAAGGGTATAAATTGGAACAATTTAGTTTATTGTTTAGTGATTAAATGTTTTCTCATAAATACAGATTAAATATTTTCACAATAAGAAGAAGAAAGTATATAGTATTAACCTTTACCGATTAGCAAAGTAATCTTCAATTAGTATGGGCTGATGACCGCTTCCATTTCGTTTATGCGATATAGCCGCCTGTGATAAGCGGATAAGCTGATAGTGGGTTAATTAGGCTATAAGTAGGGGCTCGTTTCCAATCCTCTGAACAGTTTCGCCATGAAGTTAATGTGGACCACAGTTGTTTTGG